GTAGCTGGGACCACAGGTGCCTGCCACAATGCCTGGCTATTTTTTTTATTTTTTGGTTGCAGTTTGGCTGGGGCTAGGTTCGAACCCGCCACCCTCAGTATATGGGGCCGGTGCCCTACTCACTGAGTCACAGGCGCCACCCTGTGAGCTTTTCTTTATTTCCCCATTCGGAAGCCTCACCTTCTGCACTTTCTTTTTTGTCCCTTTATTTTAAACCCACTTTATTAAAATGCATGCAACTGTTAAACAAACTCTAAACTAAGAATAGGTATTTGATCAATTTTTTTGTTTGGAGACAGAGTCTCACTCTGTCGTCTGGGTTGAGTGCCATGGCGTTGTGATAGCCCACAGTCACCTCAAACTCTTGGACTCAAGAGATCCTCTTTGTCTCAACCTCTCAAGCAGCTGCGACTACAGGCACCCACCACAACACCTGGATAGGACAGTTCTTCTTTTTCTTTCTTTCTTTTATTTTTGAGACATAGTCTTAAGCTGTTGCCCTGGATAGAGTGCTGTGGTATCATAGCTTATAGCAACCTCCAACTCATGGGCTCAAGCAATTTTCTTGCTTCAATTTTTCTATTTTAGTAGAGACAGAGGTCTCGCTTTTGGTCAGGCTGGTCTCGAACTTGTGAGCTCAAGCTATCTACCCTCCTTGGCCTCCCAGAGTGTTAGGATTATAGGCGTGAGCCACAGTGCCTGGCCAGTTTTTCTAATTTTAGTAGAGACAAGGTCTCACTCTCCCTTAGGTTGGTGTCAAACTCCTGAGCTCATGTAATTCACCCACCTCAACCTCCTAGAATGCTGGGATTACAGGTGTGAGCCACCATGCCTGGCCTACTCAACCAAATTAATAATAAAATAGGAAATAAATGAAAAATTAATTTGGTTAAGATGACCCAAGATCAGCCACCATAAAATATAAAGAAGCTAAAGCCAATCAAAGAGAAATGTATGATTCAAAAGTAACTGTTTCCTTCAAACTGTCATCTCACCTACTCTGGCCAGGGAAAATTATATAACTCAGATTAGAAGTTCCCCTTTCCTCTTGTAACTCAACAGCAGTGGCTTATGAGTGGACAGGGACCTTGACTCATCCCCATGCCAGACACTTTGGAATAAAGAAGCTGGACCAACAGAAAGGCAAGACTGCTACAGGGGCCCAGGCACTCTGGGGACACTGATGTGAGCTGGGGGTGGGAACTGATGTCTGAGGACAAATGCCTTAAGATGACAGCCTATTTGGGGCCTTATTTATCTTAGAGTTATGGGGCAATGTTAGCTGGATGATGTCAACTGTGCAAAAGGCTCACAGGAAGGACTGGAAATGCTCTGCTACTCCATTATGAGATGCCCATTCACAATAAAACAAAACAAACAGAGACCACCCAAATATCAGGGGAAAAGAGGAATACACAGTGTTTCGAAATCAAGCTTGAAATCAGCAATCCTAAAGTCAGAGGCCTTCCTGCTATCAGGGCCAGGTTTCTATGCCACTCACAAGCTCTCTAGAATCTCAGTCACTACTGTAGTTAGACTTGCTTTTAATTTTAGTATGGAAACAACAGTCCATATAATGAAACAAAAAGCATTAATCTAGGGACCTTGAAGATACGTTAATGTACAAAAACATAAAATGAGGCAAACCAACCATCATGCTTCTTTAGGCTACCATGTAACTTAGCTCCAATGCAACAATAAACATGGCGGTCAAAGTGCTTTCCTCTCACGCCCCCTGCCAACTGGAGTGCTGAGCAGAATGGAGGAGGTCCATCCATGCAAAGGTGAAAGGGAAAACCCCCACACCACTGAAGGGCAGATGACAGAGCAGGAGGGGAGAAGTGCTGGGCTGATCCTCAGGCTCATTCCCTGGCTCGCCTTTGGCAGGTGCTGTGGCTGCAGGGGAAAGGGATGGTCACCCGCTGAGGCATTACCTCCTCTTATAAGGGTACCATCTGATGAACAGACACAGCACTGGGGTTAGGTGAACATGGGACCCTTCCTTTTAATTTTTTTTTTCTCTTTTGGGCTCTGATATTCCATTCCAAATAGCCAGCTATACTAGAAATACACATTTTGTGCCTTGGCATCTGTGGTTTTATACAGTATCTCACTTGGTAAATAGACCTATTAGCCCACATCTGGTGCTGCTGTTCTGTGGCATTACATGTACAGACAACCAGCACTTCTCAAATCTCAGGATTCCAAAAGCAAATGCCACTGTGAGGGCTGTGCTTATTTTGAAATGGAAATGAGCATCTGGTGTTTAACCAAAAGGAGCCAGTGAAAGAGTTTCTGGCCTGCTAGTCTGGGAACAAGTGGGTAATGCGTAGAAGCATCACCTCCCACCCACCCCACCAGCAGCAAGGCTGCCTTCTCAAACAACAAAGCAATTGGGCTGCATTCTGGAAAACGTTGTCTGATAATCTCCATTACAACTATTTGACTGGTAAACAGTTCTAGGGGAATTGCTGTATGGGAAAACAAAATCTTTTCAGCTACAGATCGGCTAGTCAGGAATAGCTGGATACAAACTCCTTGACTAGTCCTTGTAGTGAAGACATCAAAAGAAGTTCCATGACAACATGCCATCTACTTTTCTTTTTAGTACTGGCATTTCTGCTGTGCCTACCAAATCAAGTGAATGTCATGCCAGAGAGTAAAACAAAAAACATACTCCACAGACGCACAACCCCCTGCCCCATCTTTGAATCTTCCTGAATGACTCTCACTTATCTCTGCGGCTTTGTATAGTTTTATATTCATTTCACAAAACACAGGATAAGTCCTTACCTTTCCGTGTGAGGTATTCTGCCACCAGGGCTGTAACGTGGACATAGCACATCGCTGCCTATAACAAAAGACAGACATGTGCCTCAGAGTCTTTTTTACACAGAGTCTCACCTGTATCGCTCTTGGTAGAGTGCTGTGGAGTCATAGCTCACAGCAACCTCTAGCTCTTGGGCTTAAGCGATTCTCTTGCCTCAGCCTCCCAAGCAGCTGAGACTACAGGCACCCACCACAATGCCTGGCTATTTTTTATTATTGTTGTTGTTGCAATTGTCATTGTTGTTTAAGCAGACCCACACAAGGTTCAAACCCACCAGCCTCGGTATAATCACTGAGCTACAGGCGCTGAGCCCCTCAGAGTCATTGATAAGAGCACACTGCACTGCTCAGAGCTAGGCAGAATCTACTCATGGGTGGATTCATCCCAGAGCTCAGGGCACCAGCAGGCATTTCTAACAGCTGACATCCTACCTTTTGACAAAAGTGGAGCCATTCATGTAAACTGAAAATTTGAAGTTAATTGGGTGGGAATTGAGACAAATGACAGTAAATTTCCTAAGGCTTGTTTCTATTTACACTTATTAAATTTTAATGTAAATGATAAAACAGTATTTTTTCTAATGCTAACATTCCTAATATTTCTGTAGCATTTCTTTGGAGGAACAGGCCTGTGCTTTCCTAGACTCTGAGAGAATGGCTCAACTTTCATGTGCTAATTATTTTTCTCTCAACTTAAGAGCATGCTGTAATTTTTCCAAACATAGAATTCTAAATAAAAATCCTAATTAAATCTTAAGTGGGTAACATTATAAATACATTAAAATGAAAGAAAAAAAATAAAAACTAAATTCTTTGGACCAAGGTGCCCTGGTACCATGAAAATCAAAGACAGCTGTTGGAAGTGAACCCACTGCAAGGTTCTCATGCATGAAACCCTGTTCCTGTCAGTGGGGAGGCCACCACCACATGGTACCCTCATCAAGGATTGCTTGATGTGCATGAGTGTGTGAACACAAGTCGGCAGTGCAGCATGCACTCTGACCCATGCGGAGGAAAGTCTTAGAGAATTACAACTATGCTGTGCCCGACCTGCAGAGGCAGGGAATTCACGTCTTCCATTAGGCAACCGTCTCCATAGCACATGTCAGGAGGGTGTGCACGGAGGGTGTGCACAGAACAGCCAGGTGAATGTGTAACCGTTTACTAAGCAAGTCACAAAGCCAGACATGGCTGGGCAGTAAGAAATTATGTAAATTAGCTGCCTTAGTCCTTACTTACAGGGTGTGCTAGCTTGGATAACGCCCCCCCCCCCCAACTCCTGTCCTTCCTGAAACTTCAGAATGTGATGTTACTTGGAAACAGGGTGGTAGCAGAGGTGATTAGTTAAGATGAGGTCACACTGGTATACAGTGGGCCCTAAATTCAATATGGCTGGTATCATAAGAGAAGAGACACAGGAACATGGGAAAGAAAGAATGCCATGTGACCATGGAAGCAGAGATGGGAGTGACCTGTCCACAAGTCAAGGAACCTTTTTTTTTTTTTGAGAATCTCACTATGTTGTCCTCGGTAGAGTGCCGTGGTGTCACAGCTCACAGCAACCTCAGACTCTTGGGCTCAAGCAAGTCTCTTGCCTTAGCCTCCCAAGTAGCTGTGACTACAGGAGCCCACCTAAATGCCTGGCTATTTTTAGGTCTTGCTCTGGCTCAGGCTGGTGTTGAACCTGTGAGCTCAGGCAATCCACCTGCCTTGGCCTCCCAGAGTGTTGGGATTATAGGCGTGAGCCCCGCCAAGCCAAGGAACATTAAGGATTACTGATGACATGAGGTGCTAAGAGACAGGCATGAAACACTTGCCAAACATTCAGAGAGTGCGTGATCCTGCTGACATCTGGATTCAAGACTTTCGGCTTCCAGAACTGTGACAGTAAATTTCTTTTGTTATAATCTATGTAGCTTTTGGTACTTTGTTATGGTGGCCACATGAAACTAACACACAGAACAACTGTAATAGCTGAGGCTCAGTGAGTTCTTTTTTTTTTTTTTTAAACCTGACTGGGCATGGTGGCTATCTCTTTAACCCCAGCTCCCAACTTTGGCAGTGAGCTATAATTGTGCCACCATACCCTTGTGGGGAAGATATGAGGTGGCCACATCTCTAATAACAATCAATAAAAAACAAAAAAAGAGAGCTGCGCCACATGAATCATTAAAACATTCTTAAATTCTGGGAATGATAGAAAATTACCACCACTACTACTATTACTACCATCACTACTTAGTAATTTCCTTTTATTGTGGCTAAAGTGTAATTTATATTAAATTTATAGTCAAACAATTATCATGTATGTATACTTTTGGCATACTAGGCTTCTTTGCAAAGTAGCTATGTAAAAAAGTAGATATGTAAATTTATCAGACTTAGAACATAATTTCACTAATTTAATTCGTTACAGAAGTTCTAGAGTCAAAGCTAACCTTTTCCAGTAACCCTGTTCATCCTAACAGCGCTGGTTTCTAAATAATGCCTCAGGTACAGATCCTAAAGGAGTGGAGTTTTCATAGCACAGAATCTGCCTGACAACAGTTTTTTGTTCTTTTTTTTTTTTTTGAGACAGCGTCTTAAGCTATCCCCCTTGGTAGAGTGCCGTGGTGTCACAGCTCATAGCAACCTCAAACTCTTGCCTCAGCCTCCCTAGTAGCTCTGGCTACTTTTTGGTTGGAGTTGTCATTGTTATTTAGCAGGCCTAAGCCAGGCTCAAACCTGCCAGCCTCAGTGTATGTGGCTGGCTCCCTTACTCACTGAGTTATGGGCGCCAAGCCAATGACAGAAATTTTAATTCCCCATTTCATAGATGATGTCATCCAGACACGGAATGGTGAAAAAACTGGCTCAATGTCACAGAGGCAGTATATACTGGATCTTGGTTCTAAGCCTGCCTTTGGCACCCACTCCTGGCCATGCAGTAAACTGACTATACCAAGTCAGCTCTGCACAGAAGGGAATACTCAGATATCTACTGTACCCATAAAAAGAAATGGACTACCTCAAAAAGGAGCAAGCAAGGTCCTATCATTACTTTGATAACAGAGAAAATTTTATCGCTGAATTGTAGAACTACAGAGGAATTTTCATGCAGAATTAGTTATGTATTTTAATAGGCAAGCAACTATATGGATATGTATGTTTTGAAAGCTTTTGTTGTTCTTTGGCAACAAAAATAACCTCAGAATTTGTCTTAAATTATTGAAATGCTCAGATAACTATGAAGTCATCCTAAGCCCAATACTATTGCCTATTTTTAATTGCCTGCTTTTGACTGATGGGACAATTTTCCTTAAAACTGGATGCTTTTAATGAATGGGGTATCACTGATTTTTTTGAGACAGAGTCTTACTTTGTCACCTTTAGTAGAGTGCTGTGGCATCATAGTGCACAGCAACCTCAAATTCTTGGTCTCACACAATCCTCCTGCCTCAGCCTCCTAAGTAGCTGGGATTATAGGCGCCTGTCACAATGGCTGGCTAGTTTTTCTATTTTTAGTAGAGATGAGGTCTCAATCTTGCTCAGGCTAGTCTCAAACTCTTGAGCTCAGGAAATCCACTTGCCTTGATCTCCCAGAGTGCTAAGATTACAGGCATGAGCCACCACACCCAGCTCTATCACTGATCTTTTTGTTTTAAAAACCCAGATCGAGCAGTGGGCAGAGGTACCTCTGAAAGATCCCCATTTTTGACGTGGATCCTGGCCATGCTATCAAGCCATGTCTTCCTGAGCTCGGGCGTGCTGGCATAAGACTTGGCTAGACTGTACTGGAGGTCCACGAGCATCTCTGGGTCATTCTCGTGCTCCTTCATCTGGGCGGTGGCCATCAGAACTGTGCGTATCCTTTTGGTCAAGTCCTTCACATCAGAGGAGAAGCTGGTGTGCTGAAACAAGGGTGAAAGGAGGAAGGACACGTGGTGCCACCTGCTTTCTGCTTGTCCACACACACCTCAGAGGATGTGAGACAGAATCCTGGGGTGGACATAGGGCCAGGCCACCTACCTTGATGAGCCGGTCACTGTTGGCACAGTTGTTGATAATGGACAGGGACTGCTGGAACCTGGTTCCCCCAATGCCAACAACATCTGCTATCAGCTGGCTGACGGAAATAACGACCTAGGGACACACAAATGTGAGCAAATCAATTCACCTTCAAATGACTGCCCAGGCCAGGTTTCTACATCTAGGTAGGAGGTGCCTGAGGACAAGGTGAAGGTGGGATGGTCTGAGAAGGGATAACTCCAGAGCAGAAAACAACATCAGAGGCATTTATTCTTCCCCTTCAAAGAATTATTGCAGAAGGTGATTTTGCTATCCTTAAGTATTTCATTTACAAAGCAAAATGCTAGTCAGAATAATATATGAGAATAAGATTAGCTCAAATCACTACCTATTACCTTCCCCAAACAGAAACCTTATTATTTACTTCTTCAGTTTTAACTTGTAAGTATTAAGTATGCAATAGGCAGCCTTCCCTTTGCATATTTATCAGAAGATGTGTACATACCGACCACGCACAGGGGACACTGCCTGTTTTGGGGTTTATGAATAGTGCCACCTTTATTCAGCTGCTCGAGCTAAAACATAAAGGCCATCCTCATTTCTACCTTGGTCTTCACTGCACCCAGGCACAACCAATCACCAAGTGGTGTCAACTCAATCTTCCCTTCTTCCTAACCTCACCATCCCTGGGATCCCATATTCTATCCTCCAGGGTGTTTGGGAGATTTCAGTTGCATGGGTGAGCACCTGTCAAGTTCCAGGGTGCTCTGTTCCAGACCTAACAGTCTCGTCAGCTAAAGTCTAGGTTCTCTGATCCACTCTGAACATGAGTCCAGGAGATCCTCCAAATATATAATGATTTGGATACACAGCAACGTGTCGTCAACACCTTCTTGCTCATGTTCTTAACTCCACAGTAAGGAGCTTTTCCAGCCTCCTAGGTGGGCCCTTCCCATGGTGAATCCATGGCCTGGAACATGCTCACCACTCTGTAACTGCTGACCCCTATTCGTTATGTCCCCTGGGAAGCCTCCTCTGGTCCCCAGGCCAGGTGCCCCTCCTACAAAGTCCTCTGTGATAGCACTGGCCCCACTGTACTGAGAGCTATGGGGTTTGCCTGTGGCCTCCACTAGACGGTATGCTCCATGAGGGCTGGGAGAGGATTCTCTCTTGTTCATGGTTGTATCCATGAATGTTAGCATGTAGTAGCTTTGTGTTAGCAGAGAGTTTAGGATGTTTTAACTCTGGAGAGATATAGCAGGTCTTGTCAGGAGTTAAAAGACAGAAAAGAATCACACTAGTTGGGCTTTACATTTCTTACCTAAGATGTTTACTATTCTGTATCCTCACATGGGTTCTAATATTTCTTGACTCCATAGAATTTCCACAACTGATTCAGTATTTAAATGTGGATTTACCAATAGAAACACATCTTGGGCCCAGATCTTACAGTTAATATCGAGCATGAAACAAAACAAGCCAGCAAACATGACTTCCTAATTTTCCATCTTTGGCCAGATCTGGCAGGATCTTTATGATGGGGTAAAAGGGATACTCAAAGTTTTCCTGCCAGAATAGGATTCCACAGTGTAAATCACTACTGGATCATCAGCCCACACATACCTGCAAATGTGTCCGGACAAAGGACTTCTTTCCAGTATAGTCAAAGTTGTTTCTCATCAGGAAGTAGAGCAGCTGGGAGGCCTCGGTTCTGATGGAGCTCAGCTTAGAGTTGCAGCACTTGAGAATCTCATAGCACAGAGCGGAACACATGTCCGCTCTCCCCTCATAGAATGTGGAGGGGAACTAGATAGGACGGGAAGAAGCAGGTAAACGGCAGAAAGGTTAGTGTCATGTGCCCCTCAACTTCAGGGGAAAGGAGAAGAGTGTGGCCGACACCAATGAAGCAACCTACCTTATAAATTAAGGACCTTAAGGCAGTGAAGACATTTTTTAAAGCTGTTTCTGACTGATGTTTTTGAAGAAAACACAAGTAGACGTCAAAAACTTTTTTCATGAGAGGATTATGTCCATGGTCAGCCAAGAGCTGGTTCTTAAAACACACATTGACACCTGTGTTAGTGCTCTAGCAGGCTTCATACCATTTTCAGGCTCAAAATTACATTTTCCAAGTATTAAGACAATTCATGATTTAAATAAATACTGCTATAAATTCTTTAAGAAAGCATAGAATTCTCCTGTAAAACAAAGAAATCTATCAATAAATTTATGCTTTGGGGCTAAACCTCCCAGAAAACTGTAATATAGTTTAAGTTGCTTAGTACTAATAGGGCCTTTATGTATTTACTTATTTTGACTGTACACCAGCAACTGGTACAGACATGATGTTTGTGACATCTTAATTCCAACAGATATGTCATTATAGATGTGAACTAATTATGAGCAGGAAAAGCTACTGGGGAAGACAGGCTACCCTCAGGCCTCTCAGGCACTTTGCTGAGCTATGACAATCAGATAGTCTGGTAAGGTGGAAAACGTACAGGTTTTGGTCTGGTACCACTTACCACATGCACAAACTTGCCCAGATAAACTGAGTCTTGGCATTCTCATCTATCACACAAAACTAACCCTGAATGGCTACTGTGAACACTTGAGGTCAATACAGTGTCTGGTGCATACTTCAGTCTAGCTTAGTAAATAGCAGCTAATAGAATTTTTAACGTTTTGTAGATTCTACTTATCAAATAAAACAAGAAGGCTGAATTAATTGTTCCTCATAAATCTTCAAGATTTCCTTACCTCATTAGAAAATGCACTCTAATTAATCACTGTGGAATCCTGGTTGGCTAGAGCTCCCATCGACTGTGGAATATACAGAGATGCAGCCCAGCAGGACACTGGCAGGGAGCCTCCTGTCTAAACCTACATGACCCCAACAAACACTGCCTTCACATATAGACAATCTCTGAGAACAAAGGTGTGTGTTTAGGAGGAATGTATGTGTGCATTTTGCATAAGTAGACAAAAGTGACTATAATAAAAAAAAGTCATAAGGCCACTATGTCAAAGTATTCTTACAATAGACAAATAAACAGAGATAACCTATGTCCATGTAATTTTGCTACACAGCAAATTACAGTTGGAGTTACTATTTCAGAGCAAGATTTACCTCATCTTACTGTTGGAGAGAAATTTTTACTCAAAGGATACATTTTTGTTTTGGGGGTTCAGCAAACTGTAGATGTATCACAGCTGGGGGAATACCTGGAATTCACAGGGATCTTTATTTCATGAGGGACTGAATATGGAATTCAGGTACCATATTGAATTCCATCATGTGAAAGAAGACCATTTCAATACACAGAAAACTGACTAATCGAATAAATATGATACAATTCTCAACCATGGGGAACTGTGAACAGAAAAAAAGAAAGGAAATGTTTTTTTTTAGTGTTTGGGGGAACTACTTATGTGTTCTGTTATTTGTGGACACCATTTTCCAGGAGCCACGGTTTGAAAGTCTTGCTTTTTGCAATGACTTCTCTTTCCTAACTGTGGCTGGGTTAAGGTTTGGGTCAATCTGGAAGTGGGCTTTCAGACTTGCAGCACCCTTTGCCAGAGCTAGCTCTCCAGGAGAAACAGATGGCTCCTACACCTGCCACCCCCCAGCCCCGTTCTGCTGTCGGAAAGACTCTGCCTGCAAGTTCTTAATATTTGAGTTCTGTTTCTCTTCCTTTCACTCTCTATGACCAAGACTTTTGCTTCCCATTTCCAGGCTTTAGTCTTCTTGGGTTCTAATCTCAAAACTTGCCTGCAAGAATGGAGTTAAAAGTCATTTAAACCATGTATCCCATAACCTGCTGTAAACCTCAAATACATACAATAAAATATACTTTGCAAGAAAAATAAATAACTCCTCATTTAAAGGATTTGTAAAGAACCTTTCGTCTTGAACATAGCTGCTTCCTAGCTACCTTTCTTTATTTTCCAATTGATTTTCTTGCTTGTGTCTGTTTCTTCCTCATTTGTTAGAAAGTAAGGTACACTAAATCAAACACATCTGTGAACATTCAGAGGTGCACGGGAGGGGAGGAAAGCGAAACAAAAATCGCCTGTAACTTCTCTACTCAGAAATAACTGCAGATGACAGCTTGGTATAGTCTCATTTCCACCTTTTCATCCCCTTGGACTCTTGCTGAGGATGGGACAGTTCAGTTAGGAAAAGGAGACATTAGAATAATATAAAGGCATGACTTATTTCTAGCAATAAAGTAGAGACAAATTCTCTAGGAACTATCTGTCATAGGTTCAGGTTTGACTATCACAAAGTCTGTTACAGTGCTTAACCCAGGAAATGGGCCTTTTAGGAAACAAAGGTTCAATAGTAGTAATTTCTTAGGATCCAGGAAAACAGAAGATGCCATAATGAGATGCCTAGGACAATGTTATTTAAAATAGCTAAGTCTTTCCAAGGCATATAGCATTTATTTTTACTTGGATGTTTCAGTTTTGAGAAGAGTTGTTTTGGTCACACATGCTCGTCAGTCACTGAGATGACCTAGACCTCATGCCCAGGCTCACGGCTGAGTAACCCAGATCATAAACCCCAGCCGTTCACACCTCCTCACCTTTTTGGTTCTTACTGTTCTTGGTTATGTATTAGTTTCTCAAATCAAGAAAAGCCTCTAAATGGAACTGCTAAAAATATATTTTCAGTTTAAATTTGTGAGCACATTAAAAATAGTACACAATAAAGACCAGCATTGCTTTGGGATTGTGTTAATAAAGGACATCATAAAATAGCCACAGAAGAACTGTTTTTCTGCACATAACTACCTCAGTTTACAAAACACAGCCTTTTATGCATTAAATGACACAGCCTATGTGAAAGTTCCCAGGATTATATTTGGCAGCTGAGGAGTGCTTGCTAACTTTCTTCTTTCTTTATATGAGAGATCATTCAGTTGCCTTGACACTCACTCAGCTCTCTCTCATACACACCACACTCACACACACCTGACTTGGTGGAGGTGACACTAGACAGGCCAGTTGTGTAGTGATCTTGAGCCAATTTCCTATCTTGTCCGTAAAACGTGGGATAATCGGATCTACTAAGCAGAGCTGTTGTGAAGATTAATGTGTGAGGCACAGAAGGCACTCAACAGAATCCAGGGCTTAAATCTTTCAAACATTTTACCTTATTAAGACATTGATTTTGGATGGTCTTTGGCAACTTATTAGATATGGTCAATTAAGAGAGTCTGCAAAGACAGGGCTCCATCTGTCAAAATGACATTCTTACATAGAATAATGTGAACTCACTCAATATTAGATTTTTTTTCTTTTTTCTCTCTCCTTTTTTTTTTTTTTGAGATATACTCTAACTCAGTCACACTAGGTAGAGTGCTGAGGCATCATCATAGCTCACAGCAACCTCCGAGTTTACCAATCTCTTGCCTCAGCCTCCTGAGTAGCTAGAACTACAGGTGCCTGCCACAATTCCCAGCTAGTTTTCTTCTTTCTTTTTCTATTTTTAGTAGAGATGGGGGTCTCGAACTCCTGAGCTTAAGCAATCCACACACCTCGACCTTTCAGAATACTAGGATTATAGGAGTGAGCCACTTGTCTAGCTTAGAATTTTTCTGATATGCTTCAACTGATCCCGCATCTGAGTAAATATTTGCAAAGGAAGATCCCAGTGGCTGCTGTGCCAATGGGCCTCCCATACCCAAGAGTCTAAGCCAGGCAAGCCTGTACTACCACTCGGCCCAATACCCAGTAATGCCATAGAATGCACCCTACATTTGCCCCCTTCCCACTCTTTACAGGAGACATTGAGACAAAATATTCTTACACAC